ATAATATGCATTTACTACTATTGTTAATACAGTCCATTGAGAATAGAAAAGATAGATTTTTATGAAAAAAAGATTCAATTAAAAAAAGCTGGAGAATAGACAGTATATTTTCATTTTTGTAATTAAAAACAGAATAGAAATTGATCTCAAATCTATCCCCATACTTGATTTCTAGCTTTCAATTATGCATGTAGCTTAATGGACTAAGGCCATATATCATCACATGCATAGAATGTTAGGTCTGTAAAGGCCAGTGTTGACTATCAGATATAGCTTCTCAATTTTACATATATGCAAATTGAGATCTAGCCTGTCCAATTGGTCTTCAAGATTTCTGGCTTTTTCCACTTTACACAGATGCAAAACACCTTGATGCAGTCTTGTTATTTAAAAAGTATGTTTGTTTGTTTGTTTGTTTGTTTTTATCTCCTCAGATTTTTGGAAGAAATGTTTTCACTTTTAATTTGCACATCAGTTTCCATGCATCCAAAACCTCTGTCCTCTTTGACAAGAAGCTATTATGTAACTAAAAACAAGCCATTCAGAGTTGCAAAATTAGCTTTGAGTGCCTGGAACTGTGGGACTGATTCTTAGAGTTAATCATTACTAATGGCTTTCCCATTAGTAATCAGTAATTATTATCTGGGATTGGTTCGTGATAATAACTCAGGAGCCTCCTGATGTCTAGGTCAGCCATGATTAAATGTTACTTGTGAAAACAGGGTGATTTTTTTTTTTTTGTTTTTGTTTTGAAAACAGGGTGATTTTTAAGCTCTGACCAGTTGACTACTTATGGTATATTCTGGGAAAGATGTGAAGAGAGAGTTTCCCTATGCCATTTTCAAAATGAATTCGATAGCTCCTTACTTTGTTTCTTTAACTGGTCTGCTAGTCTCATTATGTGAGAGATACTATTAGCATATACAGTATCGTCTTATCATGAAAACAGATTCTAAAACGAAAACAGAAAGCCATGCTAGATCAAAATCTATTTCCTTCAGTAAACCTCCCACGAAAATCCTTAATCTACCTAATACTTTGAACCATTCATTTTTATTTTTTTATTATTTATTTATTTTAAAATTTAATTTATTTTTTAAATTTACATCCAAGTTAGCATATAGTGCAACAATGATTTCAGGAGAAGATTCCTTAATGCCCCTTACCCATTTAGCCCATCCTCCCTACTTTGAACCATTCAAATGAAATCTCAGAATATTGAATTCCATAAAAAATTGAAAAAAAAAACATTTCTGTTATTTATCTCTGAATGTGCTGTAAGTTTCCCCCCCGTTATTTATGTAAAATCTCTGCCTATAGCAGGCAGCTCTGGATTTGAGTCTTGGTTCAGTTATTTTCTAGCTGCATGATATTGGGCTAATCAGTTTGCTCATCTATAGTATAAGGATAAAAATGGAACCTGTCTCATGGAATTGTTATGAAGATGGAAATAACATATGGAAGGCATGTGGCACAGTGCCTGGTTCATAGTGACTGCTCATCAGTGTCTGTGATAATTACTGTCAGCCCACGGGGGCAGTCAGGTGTACTGAGGGGAGCATGGGCTCTACAGGGGCTCAGTTCTGGGGTCCAATTTTGTTTGCCACTTCCTGTGTGCGGCATCTTGAGAAATTTAACCCTTTGAGCCACTATTTCCTCATTTCCAAAATGGATATACTGTAGTAATAATACAGATCACTGGGTTGTCGTGAGGAAAGTGCCTGTTAAGACCCTTTTCTCGCAACCGATTATCAACAAGTTAACATTTATCCACAATTCCAAGGGCAAGGCTAAGCCCAAGGTGTCACGGGAAGTTTCAAAAGAAAACAAACTCCTATTCTCCACCACGGGCAAGGATTGAATCGAAGAAAATCAAGCCAAACATGTACAATGAGAGTTGCTGATGTATATATGCACATTAAAAGTGGGTCTCTAATCCATGCCCATTTATATTTTTCCCAGTATGCACGTGGAGAAATTCTCAATTAGAGCCTCTTCCCTGGTATTTTTAGACGTCAGTAGATCTCCAAAGCCCAGCCGAAATATAGGGCTGATTAAAGACTAGAGAAACTGGAACCGTCACAAACTGTACGTGGCCAGTGCCACAGAAACTAGGAATAAAACAAACCTTTCTAACCAAGGGCAGATCTCCTTCGTCTCGTGGAGGTAAATGGAAGGGCGAAACGCAGGTCAAGTTGTGCCGGCACCGACAAAAGCGACTGGCGAAGGGCCCCTTCCCGGCAACACCAGCTTTTCCTCATCTCGGTCATGGAGGATTTTCCAAGCTTCGTGCCTGACCCCAGGCGTGGCGCCCGCGCCGGCCCAGCTGACGAGGAGTCGAGGCGGCAGGGAGAACTCCAGTCCTCACACGGTTAAACCTCTCCCAAGGAGACTGGAGGAGGGAGGAGGGAGAAGGGAAGAGGGAGGGTCCCCGCCCACAAAAACGAAGATAATATCATCCCGGCGCCCCGCCCCCACACCGGGCCGGCCCCCTCCCCCG